TTTTCTTTTAAACTCCCATAAAATGTCAAACTCTCTAGGGCTTCGACGTGATGGGCATTGTAGTGGTTGGGTGCATTAATTGTGTGTTGTTACCAACAAAGATTTTTACGTCGTTTTTGGGAGGCTTCGACGTCAACCTATTCATATCAGAATCCTAAGAAATCTATTCCTTTAATAGATAATGATATTTGAATGTCGAATTCGACTAGGCTTCAACTTTCATACTAGATGGTGGAAAGTGGCAGTTAGTAGGCATAATTACATTATGTACTGATTATTCATGATGTAATTTTATTGCACGTCGATTTCTTTTCTAATTGGACGTCAAGTATTCATCCATAAATAGAGCTTGCAGTTCACGTAACCCATTGCCTCTTATTTCCCTGTTGAACATATTAGGATTCATGTTTTTTATTTCCTTTGCATTTTCTTTTCCTTAGATTCCAAAGATATATGATATCTTGGGTGGAAATAACTTTAAGACATTTTTATACTTAGTATGATGTCGAATATTGACTGCATTCGATGCAAAGAACTGAAGCTTAAATATACTTATGAAACTTAAAGATATTCACGTCGAATTTGGACAGTAATGGATGTTACATAACAATAGGATGTCGAATGCTTATAGAATTTGACATAAATATATTTAAGGATTTCTAAAAGAAATCAATTTTTACATAACGCAGGTTCATAAATGAAAACAAAACTAAAACAAATATAGAATAACATTAAACATAGCGAAAACAGAGTTCAAACATAAAAGGCCTTATTTCATATTACATTAATTTGAGAAAAAGATACTAAAATAAGACTCTTATTCCTAATATGAGTCTGATGTCTCCATAGACTCCTCTTTTGTTGTGTCGTCTTCATCATCAGATTCACTTGCTAAAGGAGCATTGTTTTCCAAGCTTCATCTACTTTCTGGTGAATCCTGATCACAGATTTTTCAACTTTTGAAATTCTTGTTGAAAGCCTTTGAAATTGATCTACAACAAATCTCTCAAACTAACTGTGTGGAGTGAAGGTAGAAGGAGTTTCATCAACACTAGAGGGTTCATCTTCATCCTTGAAAACCCAATCATCTTTTATTTTCTTTAGACCATTAAAGGTCAATGCGGCTTTACTTATTTCATTCGACTTGGTGCACCCTACCTTGTTTTCACCAATAAAATTAACTTGATGATGCTTCAATACACTGTTGATAAAAATACCATAGGGCATATTATGACCATGAAGTCTTGTAATTTCAATCATGTGATCACTCATAGCAGCAACCTTGTTGGTTGGTATCTTGGTTTTTATGGCATGAAGCAAAATTAAATCTTCATTAGTTAGACGATGATGTATACCTCTTCCAGGTAGTATTACCCAAGCAAGTACAAAGGCACACATTTTTTCTTCCCTTTTCATTCCATCATGTAAGGACAACTTGTATACCTGTTTCCTTTTTGTATTTCTTAGACAATCCTTATAAATCTTCTTCTTGTTGGTCCATTTGTTGAGATCAGAATTTCTTTCATGACCTATAGCCTTTTACTTTGAGACCAGTAAAAGATAGTCACATCTCCTCATCAATTTTAATATCAACACCTTTTACCCGAGAGCATATAACACCATTGACAACCTTCAAATTGGCGTAGAAGACTTCTACCAAGTTAAGATAGCAATCACCTGTTGTTTGAACGAATCTCTCAAGACCCTAATGTGCAAGCCATTCTTGAAAGAGAAACTCTTCATTTTTGAATGATTGCAGATTCAAGAACTTGTGAGAGACCACCACCATGAGTTTTCTATAACAAGAAAATTTGTATCGTGTTTCTTCATAACTAATCCACCCATTTGGACTAGCATTTCTTACAACCTGTGCAGCCTTCTTTCCACGCCGTGAAGATGAAGAAGTCATTTGAGAAAAAGATTTTACAGAGAGTTAGGGTTTAAGAATATAGTTTCTTATGCAATGATACAGGAAGAGATTTATAAATTCTATATATATATATATATATATATATATATATATATATATATACACACTCAAATCTATTAAGTTCATAAAAGGCCCATTTGAAAATTTGAAAATCTAAATGTTAATCGAAGATATTCACATCGAATTTGGAGAGAACTGGACGTAACTTTGCATGGGAAATATAAATGTTGTTATTTCAAACGAAGATATTCACGTTAATTTAGACCCTAGTTGACGTTATCTTTGCGTGGGAAATAACATTTGGCTAGTCTGGTATCCAAATGAAGATATTAACGTCAAATTCGACCACTACTTGATGCCTCCCTTATAAGTTTGTTGGTCATGATAAATCCCCTTTTTCTTTTTTCTTTTAAATCACCATTAGTACGTCGAATTCAATTGGGAATCGACGTATTATTTGTTAGCCAGAAGCCAAAGAGTTACTATCTTTTTAATTATTTTTTCTTTTTTCTTTTAAACACCAATAGTACGTCGAATTCGATTAGGAATCGACGTAATATTTGTCACCCAATAGCCAAAGAGTTACTTCTTTTTTAATTCTTTTTTTCTTTTAAACCACTAATTATACGTCGATTTGTTTGGGGATTTAACGTAACATTTGTCAGCCAAAAGCCAAAGAGTATATTCCTTTTTAATTCTTTTACGTAATATTTGTTATGGGGTGACCCTTTGGCTTCATGTACATAATAAAATGTTGAAGCCCTGATCAATGTGACATTTTTTCGGCTGAATTAAAAGAAAAATAAAAACAATAACTGTTGGCTGTCATATAAAACGTCCAATTTTTGTTACAGTCTACGTCATATGTGGATGGCAGTAAACAATCGGAAGCAAATCACTATTTAGTATTTATTTATTTTGAATTGAACGTCTGATGTTTTCTAAGCTGACGGTATGTGATTACTAAGTTCATTGTTTTACGTCGAGTTGGTGCTGGTTAGGACATTAATTTATTTTAAACGGCGAGTTGTGTTCAAAAACAACGTGGATCGATTGAATTTATTTACAACAATGTCATCGGTCATTGTTAACGTTGGTTGTTCTGTTATGAGACGTTGAATGTGTGACGTTATACGCGATTTTTGTACTAATATTTATTCTACCTGTGTAATATTTTCTGATTATATCAACCATAATTAAACGCCCCATACATAGTAGTAATAACAATATGATTCCTAATCCTCTAACATAAATAATTCAATCATACTGAATTACTCGATCATCGATCCCCGATCCTTGAACTTTGATCATCGATCCTTGATCTCTAACCCTTGATGTCATCACTAACATCTCACACATAGACTCTTCGTCTATCCACTCATTAGCACCAATGCCAACTACTTACTATAACCATTATAGTAACCACTATCAACATAACATAACTTGGAGCATCTCAAGTACCATGATTATCATCATATATACACTACCATCATGTCTATCTCAGTCATGAACAACACCATGAGCATCACTGTACCATAATACCATAATGGAAATAGTTCATCTTACTCTTGTACCCTACCTCATATGGATACAAGAAAGGTCTTTTCAGGAATAGTTTTTTAATGATTTAAAAGTCATTAGACATTAATCACTTGATTATCTGATGTCTAATGCGTTATGACGTCTAATGCATTATGACGTCAGTGTCTTGACTTTCCAACATCATACTCTTTAAGAACATTCATTTTCCAACTAACTTTTTTAAATAGACATTAACCCCCCTTAAACTTGTGTACTGAAAAATGAATTTCACACTACATTTTTAATGATTCAAACACAATTAGACATTAGTCCCCCTAACCATCTAACGTCTTATGCGATATGACGTTGGCCCCTGGACTTTCTGACGTCATATGTGTACAAGACAAGATCATTTCAGTTTAATTTTTTAATAATTTAAACAACATTAGACATAAGTTCCTTTGACAATCTAACATTTATGTTGATATAACGTCGGCTTGTTGACTCTCCAATAATGTCATATGGATACAAGAAAGATCTTTTCAAAATGAGTTTTTTAATGATTTAAAAGTCATTAGACGTTGATCATTTGATTATCTTATGTCTATGCATTAGGGTGTCAGTGCCTTAACTTTCCAACATCACACTCTTTCAGAATATTCATTTTTTAAAGGTTTAAATGCTTACTTCGTCCCCATGTTAAGGGGTGAATTTCTGTTTAGTACCCAGTTTTAAAAATGCTTCTATTTTATCCCAAAGTAGTATAAATTGTATCAATTAGATCCCTTCCGTTAAATTCACATAAACGGAGTTAACTCTAGCTGACGAATCTACACTTTTTCTTCTCTCTCCTCTGCATTTCTTGCAATGTTCCAGCTTTTTCTGTTCTTCTTCCTCACTTTTTCTATTCTCCTCTGCACTCACAAACCCATCTCCTACCCTCTGATTCACGCCAACAGTCACCTTCATCTCTCCCACCATCACCTCCCTGTTCACGTGCTGTTCTACGTACAGTGGCCATGCAACCATCGGCACCCTCGCCACCACCCATTCCAACACAGAGTTCCACCCGCAGTGACTCACAAACCCCCCCTCCCACCAATTCACGGCTTAGCACCTCCACTTGCGGTTTGGTATACACTGTTCCTTAGTTTATGTGGCTTTGGCGCTCAAACCCTCCTTTTGTCTCCTAACCCCACACTCACACACACACACTCTCTCTCTCTCTTTCTTCTAATCTTGATCGGGGTTTATGAAAATCCTCACTTCTGCTTTTGATGACCTTGTTTTAAAGAGTTTTATTTGGATTTGAGTATGCCTCATTTTCTGTTTGAGATCATCCAATTGATGAATCTGAATCTCTTGTATATTTTGACTTTTTTTTATTGGGATTATTTTATCAATCCATACTTTATACTTCAGATTAGCATTTCACTTTTGCATCAGTGTGAAGCTATTTGATCTTTGCAATAAGGATTGATCATTGATCATTGACTGTTATTTACTATTTTCTAACTAATGATTGAATCTATCTGTTTCACAAGTCTGAGAACACTTTGGTTTTGGACCTCTCTGTGCGTATTTATCCATAAATTACTTGGACAGTTTCCTCTCTGTTTATGAGTTACCAGTATGTCAATTATTTTATACAAAGAAAAGAAAATGTTTTTTTTATTTGATTTAGTCTTGAATGGCTTTTGATCGGATCTTTTTATTGGCAGAAGCAACGAGTTTGGACAATGAAATTGTTGGTTGTAGGTTTCATATCTTTGGCAGCCAAAATGGAAGAGACTGATGTTCCTACATCTCTTGATTTGTAGGTAAATGATTTCAATCTGATGATTTGGTTTATGAACTTATTAATTGCATGTTTGATTCAGTTTATTTTGTAGATCCACTTGCTGATTTTCTAGGAGAGTTGAGTCCAAGAAATAATTGTTTTTCCAATCATGCACTGAGATAAATGTTTTTAATTCTACATGCATTGATCTTGTAATTTCTAATTAGGTGGGTGAATCTAAGTATATATTTGAAGCCAAAACAATTCAGAGAATGAAGCTTCTTGTTCTGAACACATTGAAGTGGAGAATGCAGGCAATTACCCCATTTTCCTTCATTGACTATTTCCTTCAGAAGATCAATGATGATGAAGCTTCAATGGGAGCTTCAATTTTGCAATCCTCCAAGCTTATACTGAGTACTGTGAGAGGTACCTGTCTGTACTCCATCCTAACTCTCTGCAGCAATAATAAATAAATGCTAGTGAGGAAGTAGAGATGATAATTTGAGGAATGGGAATCCAATGCAGGAATTGACTTCATAGAGTTCAGACCCTCAGAGATTGCAGCAGCAGTGGCAATATCTGTGGTGGGGAACGACTTGCGGCCTAGAGAATGAGAGAGAAAAAGGAGAAGAGAAGGAGGAAGGCGAAGATGAATGCCGGGAAATAGCAGCGACGAGGGAAGCCATGTTGGGCATTATCGTGGGCGTCAAGGAGACCCTCTTCCTCGATGGCGTGGAAGTGGTCCTTCCAGGGCCTCCATGGGCCCTTGCGGTTGGTGGAGCTGCTCTTGCGGGAGCCGGAAAAGCGAGTGGAGGCAGACTCACAGGAAGGGCTTTGGACGCAGTATACGGGCCGGCGGGGAGAGCGGGGCGGTGAGGATTGGGAGAGGCTGCTAACCTCAGAGTCTGTCTTGGTCAGTATTGGCACGTTTTCGTTGGGTTTCATGTTTCTCTCTTTTGTTTGTGTTGAATTTGATGTGAGGAAGAATGGAGAGAGAGAAAAAGCTAGAACATTGCAGGAAATGTAGAGGAGAGAAGAAAAAGTGTAGATTCGTCAGCCAGAGTTAACTCCGTTTATGTGAATTTAACGGAAGGGATCTAATTGATACAATTTATACTACTTTAGTATAAAATAGAAGCATTTTTAAAACTGTGTACTAAACAGAAATTCACCCCTTAACATGGGAACGAAGTAAGCATTTAAGCTTTTTTAAATGACTTTTTTAAATGTTTAAAAAGAATTATTATTTCACGGTTTTTATTATACATTTTTTTAATTCTTGCCATTTATCTGATTTAATTTTCCCATGATGATGTTTTGACAGTTTTTTCAAAATAAATTTTCTTTGAATCTTGTTATATCTTATTGTTTCACAACATTGACATTCTTTTATAAATTTTACAAATCAACAAAATTAAGAAAGTTTACAATTTTAATGAAAATAATTGTAAACAAAGTTATGTGAAATAAATTACGAAATAACTAGAGGTAAATGATCAAGACAATTTAACTTCTTTGACAAGTTAATTAGATGTATGAGCCAATTCATTATCAATGCATGCAATTATTTTATTAGAACCCTGATATTAATCTATAAAAGAAATTGCTAGCACTACCCATTCTAACATACTTTTTTAAAATGGCCTTTTGAAACTTTATTGTCACTTTTAATAAGACTCTTCAATTGCGTATTTTTAATTATTTCTTTAGTAAAATAGCCTTAATGGTTTTAGTTTATATATATGTAATAGATGTTAATTTTACTACTGTTACCCTCCTAATACTAATTTTCAGGTAGCCAAGGGAAAATATTATAACTACAGTCAAATTTAATAATATTAACTACATAAACCAATTTAATAGGTATGAATTAATTATTATTGTCTTATAGAGACTGTAAAAAGTATATAGCAATAAATATTGAACTATGAGAATATTAAGATGGGTGAGAAAAATAATAGATGAAATTATTCATACTTGGTTACTTTATTATAGTATTGATTGAGAAAAAAAATAATAACTTAGTGAAACTTTTATTTGATTTGAGTGATTAATTAATAGTTTTCTCCAAAAGTAGGAAATAATTGTAAACCCTAATCGAAAACAGGTGGGGCCATTTGCCTAATGTGTTTAAGACCCATAGGTCCCTCCTTGTCCCTTGTGTCCTCCAATGATGTTGTTTCTGACCCATAATCTTCTATGGGTATTACTTAGACATAAAATGTCAGACCCTTAATAAATATGATAGCAGTTCCCAACCAAACATACATGAATGGCCAAAATCTGTCTTATACATCATTTCCCTTCACCTTCTTCGCTGCCCCTTATGCTTCTTACATATTCATCCAATTTCAATTCCATTTCTTCTTTATATTTTACCTATTAATTATTTCATTTTTAAATTAAATTATAAAGTATTTAGTCTCTTCACAATCATGTAAAATATATTTTCCAACTAACAATACATGAAATATTTTTCATTCGATAGAGGAAACTGAAAACTATAATATATTTCGTTTAATGGAAGAATATTTTACTTTGACTTTTATGATATGTAAAAAAAATGCTTTATAATTTATTTTATGTACAAAACACTATTTTTATATTAACTTAGAAATAAAAACCATATTTAACTTTAAATATATTAGAACATCCTGTATAATTATTTTTATCTCCAATTTTACTAAGATATGAGATTGAAATAATATAGTTTTTGCTTGCATTCTTTACATTGAATGTGGCAATGGTATTTAATAAGATGCTAGAATGGTATATATACTTGCAACTTTGTAGGAACATGCCAAAGCCCTTCTAAAGATCACACATATTAAAGTTTAGGATATTATCTCAAAACAAGTATTGTCCACCAAACAAAATTACCAATCAAAGAATTTATAACACTATCACTCTATTTCAGCTAAAACAACACAACGAAAAGATGAATATATTCTTTTTCCTCTTTTTTTTCTAGTCATTTATTTGGATGATCTCAACCTTTTTTTTTTCTTTGAGTTAACACTTTTTTTTATTTAACTAATACATAATATATTTCTCCAAGTGATATTTAAAAAACAAGTGTTAAATATATTTAAGAAACAAATAGAATGATGGAATGCCATTAATACTTCACGAAATTTAATANAATCATGCACTGAGATAAATGTTTTTAATTCTACATGCATTGATCTTGTAATTTCTAATTAGGTGGGTGAATCTAAGTATATATTTGAAGCCAAAACAATTCAGAGAATGAAGCTTCTTGTTCTGAACACATTGAAGTGGAGAATGCAGGCAATTACCCCATTTTCCTTCATTGACTATTTCCTTCAGAAGATCAATGATGATGAAGCTTCAATGGGAGCTTCAATTTTGCAATCCTCCAAGCTTATACTGAGTACTGTGAGAGGTACCTGTCTGTACTCCATCCTAACTCTCTGCAGCAATAATAAATAAATGCTAGTGAGGAAGTAGAGATGATAATTTGAGGAATGGGAATCCAATGCAGGAATTGACTTCATAGAGTTCAGACCCTCAGAGATTGCAGCAGCAGTGGCAATATCTGTGGTGGGGAACGACTTGCGGCCTAGAGAATGAGAGAGAAAAAGGAGAAGAGAAGGAGGAAGGCGAAGATGAATGCCGGGAAATAGCAGCGACGAGGGAAGCCATGTTGGGCATTATCGTGGGCGTCAAGGAGACCCTCTTCCTCGATGGCGTGGAAGTGGTCCTTCCAGGGCCTCCATGGGCCCTTGCGGTTGGTGGAGCTGCTCTTGCGGGAGCCGGAAAAGCGAGTGGAGGCAGACTCACAGGAAGGGCTTTGGACGCAGTATACGGGCCGGCGGGGAGAGCGGGGCGGTGAGGATTGGGAGAGGCTGCTAACCTCAGAGTCTGTCTTGGTCAGTATTGGCACGTTTTCGTTGGGTTTCATGTTTCTCTCTTTTGTTTGTGTTGAATTTGATGTGAGGAAGAATGGAGAGAGAGAAAAAGCTAGAACATTGCAGGAAATGTAGAGGAGAGAAGAAAAAGTGTAGATTCGTCAGCCAGAGTTAACTCCGTTTATGTGAATTTAACGGAAGGGATCTAATTGATACAATTTATACTACTTTAGTATAAAATAGAAGCATTTTTAAAACTGTGTACTAAACAGAAATTCACCCCTTAACATGGGAACGAAGTAAGCATTTAAGCTTTTTTAAATGACTTTTTTAAATGTTTAAAAAGAATTATTATTTCACGGTTTTTATTATACATTTTTTTAATTCTTGCCATTTATCTGATTTAATTTTCCCATGATGATGTTTTGACAGTTTTTTCAAAATAAATTTTCTTTGAATCTTGTTATATCTTATTGTTTCACAACATTGACATTCTTTTATAAATTTTACAAATCAACAAAATTAAGAAAGTTTACAATTTTAATGAAAATAATTGTAAACAAAGTTATGTGAAATAAATTACGAAATAACTAGAGGTAAATGATCAAGACAATTTAACTTCTTTGACAAGTTAATTAGATGTATGAGCCAATTCATTATCAATGCATGCAATTATTTTATTAGAACCCTGATATTAATCTATAAAAGAAATTGCTAGCACTACCCATTCTAACATACTTTTTTAAAATGGCCTTTTGAAACTTTATTGTCACTTTTAATAAGACTCTTCAATTGCGTATTTTTAATTATTTCTTTAGTAAAATAGCCTTAATGGTTTTAGTTTATATATATGTAATAGATGTTAATTTTACTACTGTTACCCTCCTAATACTAATTTTCAGGTAGCCAAGGGAAAATATTATAACTACAGTCAAATTTAATAATATTAACTACATAAACCAATTTAATAGGTATGAATTAATTATTATTGTCTTATAGAGACTGTAAAAAGTATATAGCAATAAATATTGAACTATGAGAATATTAAGATGGGTGAGAAAAATAATAGATGAAATTATTCATACTTGGTTACTTTATTATAGTATTGATTGAGAAAAAAAATAATAACTTAGTGAAACTTTTATTTGATTTGAGTGATTAATTAATAGTTTTCTCCAAAAGTAGGAAATAATTGTAAACCCTAATCGAAAACAGGTGGGGCCATTTGCCTAATGTGTTTAAGACCCATAGGTCCCTCCTTGTCCCTTGTGTCCTCCAATGATGTTGTTTCTGACCCATAATCTTCTATGGGTATTACTTAGACATAAAATGTCAGACCCTTAATAAATATGATAGCAGTTCCCAACCAAACATACATGAATGGCCAAAATCTGTCTTATACATCATTTCCCTTCACCTTCTTCGCTGCCCCTTATGCTTCTTACATATTCATCCAATTTCAATTCCATTTCTTCTTTATATTTTACCTATTAATTATTTCATTTTTAAATTAAATTATAAAGTATTTAGTCTCTTCACAATCATGTAAAATATATTTTCCAACTAACAATACATGAAATATTTTTCATTCGATAGAGGAAACTGAAAACTATAATATATTTCGTTTAATGGAAGAATATTTTACTTTGACTTTTATGATATGTAAAAAAAATGCTTTATAATTTATTTTATGTACAAAACACTATTTTTATATTAACTTAGAAATAAAAACCATATTTAACTTTAAATATATTAGAACATCCTGTATAATTATTTTTATTTCCAATTTTACTAAGATATGAGATTGAAATAATATAGTTTTTGCTTGCATTCTTTACATTGAATGTGGCAATGGTATTTAATAAGATGCTAGAATGGTATATATACTTGCAACTTTGTAGGAACATGCCAAAGCCCTTCTAAAGATCACACATATTAAAGTTTAGGATATTATCTCAAAACAAGTATTGTCCACCAAACAAAATTACCAATCAAAGAATTTATAACACTATCACTCTATTTCAGCTAAAACAACACAACGAAAAGATGAATATATTCTTTTTCCTCTTTTTT